CTCCAGAACTGAGCATTAAATTTCTATTGTTTGTAAATTATCAAGTCTAAGATACTTTGTTATAGCAGCCTGAAGTATGACAGTTGTATATGTAAATGTTCTTAATTGCCTATTTTCTACATGTTTCTAGTAATATGTATTTGTCATCAGTGGTACATAATTTTTTGATAATCACTGATCAAGTGACTAATATTTAGTGTATGTGGAAGATGTTATTTTGCAAAAATATTTAAGAAATTGAAAACATTGGAAAAACAAAACACTGATAAGGATACTACATCTCTTTAGTAGGTTTGTCAGATCTTCTCATCTATAGGATAACTTTATCTTAACATAGTTGGTCAAATCCTAGGTGTGAAGAAACAATGCCTCTTCCTATTAAAGCCATAGATCTCATGATAGGAGTTTTTTCTCTAGTATTACCTTAGTATATCTCCATTATAAGCACAAAACATTGGCTGCTTTCATTGCTTGGCTTTGGAATACCATCTCCCGAAAACAGTTGTTTGCAGGAACAACAAAGAGAAGGTCCCTATACATGTTGGTTCTGCAAAATGGCAACATTTTTAAAACCAGAAATGATGTGTAAAAGATTAAAGAACTAGAGAAAATGTATTTCCATCTGTCCTGGTTAAATGTTCCTTGAAAACAGAGATAAGAGACAAAATGAAAAATCTATTCCTTAGAGTAAATGAGACTTTCAACTATGCATTAGCTTCTTTTGAAAAGGAATTAGATTCTGAGGCTACATAGCATACATCCAAAATAAACCCCAGCATTCTCATCTCATCAAATATATTGCTATGACTTAAGCAGAGAGAACATTTAATAGGAAGTGACCTAGCAAAGGAGATGATCTAGCTCAGACATTAATAATTCATTTATTAGAAATAGGAGTAGTGGTACAAAATGCCAGCAGACTGTTTCATTTGTAGGGAGGCCTTTTCTATTTTATGCCCACAACTTTCTTTTATGAGAGTTAATATGAATGCAAGGAAATCTGAACTGGGAGATAGATTTTTATGGTCTCTTCCTACAGTGTTATTTCTTTAGTATCATATTTTAGGCATTCCATCATTTGAGGGCTTGTAAAAGTAACAAGAAAAGAATTTTTGTAACTTTTTTTTTGTTCAGAAGTGATTTCCTTCACTCCAAAGCTCTGGCATTAGAGATATAATCATGAAAATCTAGGAGAAATGATTTGCATGAAGTTTTGTGGGCATAGCGTCTACTAGTATTGAAAACTCTTTAGGTATTAGTTTCTAAGCCACCTCTAAGTTCAACCCACTAGTTATCTATATCATTTCATCATTGTATCCCAGCACTTAGCACAAAACCACTTGGAAGGCTAGGTCTCAAGGAATATTTGTTCAATGAATGAACAAATGAAGCCAAATAAGAAAGAATTTCAAATATGGTTTGAAGCCTCCTGATCTGTCTGTGTAATGAAGAGGCATTTGCAGAGCACCTGCCTCAATGTCCCTGGTCTGAATTGTTAGAAGTCCTCATCTTCACTTTCATTTCAATTCACAGAAGGGAAAGGGTAAAATTCAGACAGTGATTTGAATAAGCTAAAACTTCCCCTTAGAGAACCAGAAGAATCTAAACCACTAACCCTAGAAATAGACAGATTTCTAGTCATAGTTTAGATTTGGAATATTCACATGAATACATATTTTGAGATAATTTTAATCCCAACTGATTATCAGGAACTAGATATATGAATAGAACATATAATTACACTAACAGCTATAATTATCTATCACCTATTATATAGTCAGCTCAGTGTGCTTTAGGCATTTTATTTTTTAGATGTAAGTATTATTCTATTTCTGATATTTTTTTAAAAAGAATATAAAAGCTCAGAGTAGTTAGACCCAAAGAACATAAAGCTAATCAAGGAGAGTCAGGGTTAAATGTCAACACTTCTAAACCACAAACTCACTGTTGTTTCCTAATGCCAAGAGATGACTATCCAAACAGAATTATCTGTTCATGGACCCAGGCTTAAAAACAGGCCTATCATTCATATCTACCAATGTTAACTAACGAGGGGAGAAGTATCTCAACCATAAACACCCAAAACAACCATAAATCTTAAACATAAACCATAAACACAACAAGCACCTGAAAACATGCTCTTGGTCAGGCAAAAGAAAAGCAATCAGGTAGAACTATTGATAAGCAATAAAGAGACATTTGATATCCCAGGGGATTGCTGACTTCCATAAAGAGGTCCAGAATGCTGATGTTGAACCTCAAAAATGCCATATTTCACTATCAGGTATAGAGACCTAGGCACACATCTGGAAGAATGTTGATATCTTCCATGGCACTCCATGAACCATAGCTAAGAGTGGGTCAACACAGGCATGGTAGAACAACTTGACACCCAGATTCTTCTTGGGGAGGATCCCAGTTTAAAAAGAATCCTCACAAAGAATACAGCTTTAAAAGGACAGTCTGCAAAAAGCCATCAAAGCCAACGTTCAGTTGTCTTTACACATAGACATAGATATCATGGTTAGCAGTGTTAGGTCTGCCACACACTTGGAGAACAGTCACATCACCACTGAATTTCAATGCAAAAAGTACCAGGGAGATGCAGCTACAGCTTATTTTCACTACGCTCAACACAGTGGTCTTTGGTTCCTCCATATAGCCACTACTGTCCCTCCACATCCTGCACAAGGGTGCATTGGGTATCAACGGGACCTCTAATCTTTATAGTTTAAATGTTTCTCTTTTCTCCTCAAATATTGTGATAAATTTAGGGAATGAAAGTAATATAGTCAAGTACACTATTAGATGTGTTTTAAAAGTATGAATTTCTTCCAACACAATTATTAGGAAACATTTGAGCATATGTGATACTGGCATTTGATTACATGCAATTTTATCCTAAAAGTTCTAGATGAATGCAGAAAGCACACCAATGTGAAACGAACCATGTAGGGGCACACACAACCACATAGCTCAGCAGCACGATGTTCCACACCTAGCTGTATATTGTGCTACAACTTCTACCTGATCACAGATAACCTTCTTCCACCTCAGAATCATGGGTAATCGGCCACCCCTCCAACAGGGGCACCCTGGGATACCCTCCATCCTGGTTAACGTTTCTCTCTTTCTCTATGCCTGTTTCATATTTTCCCTCTCTAGTCTGTATTTTATGTATGTTTTTCATATTTACTTCTTTTTTCTCTTACATACACTGTGGCAGGCCTGTGAACAGAAGTAGGTATTACAGGCATACCCTTCCATAAGTACACTTACGGTAAGTTTTCTTACAAGATAAAGCACTGCCTTTATTACAGTTTGCATATATTGCCCAACTACTTCATATATATAAATAAAATCTGTATATCATTTTATTAAATCCCCATCTTGCACATGAGTATGTGTCACTGACAGATCTTTTAGCGTCTGACTCCACCTCAGTTTCCTTCTCTCTCTGTACTTTAGGTTTCTTCAGAGTGATGTTATTTTTAGGGATGAATATGTTGCATGAGAGCAGAATGAACTAAATGATGTTTTTGTTTTAAAGACTACTTTTTAAAGAGAAATTTTAGATTCACAAAAAAATTGAAAGAAAAACAGAGATTTCTCAAATTCTCTTTGTCTCTGAACAGGCATAACTGACAATGCCTTTCTAATCCTGAGTTCTTCAGGATTTCATGATAGTTTGTAAATCAAGCTGAAAAACATTGGCTCACATTGTCTGAAATTATAACTGTTTGTGTGAAATTCACTAAACGTTATAATTTACAATCTAGACAATAACAACTAGGTCTAAAAGAAAAAGATCCGGTTTAATTTAGTCCTATTCTCTTCTTGTTTGGAAGTTCTGGAAAAGTCTACCAATTTGTACATCAAAGCTTTCACCACAGAATTTTATCTGTCATATTTATTTGGTTGTTAGTATTAACAACAATAAACATCTCTGTAGATGGTTAGAGAAAAGGCAAACGAATATATAGTCTCATCTTCTAGGTCATATTATTTTAGGACAAATGTTTTTTTTGGTACTGGGAATCGAGCTCAGGACCTCATGCTTGCCAGGTAGGTGCTATGCCCTTGAGTTATATCTCCAGTCCTAGGTCATAATATTTTAAACTTATTAACTTAATAAAACACTAGCTGAGAAATGTTCCTTTCAAAAAAAAAAAAAGACTGTAAATTGCACATAATAAATAGGCCAAGCACTGTGTTTGCAACTTTTGTGATTCCAACCTAAAAGATTTAAATAAAAATTCATATAAAAGTATCTAAATCACATTTGAAGTAACAGGAAAAAAGTCAATATGATATAGTGATCAGAAATACCTACTAATCATTTTAAAAATCGGGGTCACTGTAAGTAATAGAAAACAATCCCACTTACTCACTGGGAAATGTTAAAGTATTCTGTGTTATGAAGTAGATGTGCATTTTCATTTGTATTCACTAAAAATTTCTCCACTATCTGCAAAGTGAAACTGTGCTCCTTGACTGGGAAAGGGGAGAAGAAAGGCAATACTTTCCACGAATGGCAAGACTTCTTAGATGTTTCATGTGTAATACTGAAAAACCCAATCATTTATAGAGAGAATAAAAGAGAAATACCATAAGAAAGGCCCTGGCCATGACCTCAAATTCAGCATCAATAAAATTTTTTCAGTGTAACACAATACAGTAACTCTTCTGGAGATATACTTTGGCCTCTCTCTTGAACATTTTTATCTCTAAACAAATGGGTCAGTTATTCCATACTGAAGATCTTGAAAACCTGACCCAATCCCTAGAGCTCTCTCCGCAACCTGTTTTTACTGTATAGATTACCATCTTGTCTTCTCAGAAACTACGATGAAAAGACACCTGCTCACCTTGCCATAAGTTAAGGATCACTTGTTAGCAAAGATTTTGAAGAAAATACTTTCCTCACCGTGAGCAGAAAACCAAGTTCCTTGCCAGCCACGTGCCAGCCACATGCCAGCCACCCCTCATTTGAGCCTTACTTGTTCTCATTGCTTGCATCATAACGAGGCATTGGATCCAAGTCATTCCCATTCACATCACAACTCGCCAGGGCATCCTACGGCCACAGAGGAAAAGGAAACGGACAGTCATTAATTAGCCACTGACCCGCAGGCTCATGCATTCTTAAACACATTTCTGCAGTAGAGTAATTAGGTTAACTAATATGCTTATAGTTTGCTGGTGTCAGGATGCCTTGGGGAGGGTAACAACCAGTACTTCATTTTCCTCCTGAAGGCGAAGGAATATTCTATACAGACCAAAAGGGGCCAGCATTTCTCCACTTTGTACCTAGAATGAACCAGTTCATGAAATGTATTTTTCAAAGACATCCTCAGTTATTACCTTTTCTGCAAAATACTCCTCAAATACCTAGAAGCAAAGTGACATATTCGCTTGGTTCTTTCTCTATTTCTTACTTCATTTCTTGACCTATAACTTCTTTATCATAACTTAAAGATTTTAGAAGACAAAGTCTTCCACATATAATTAACAAGCCAATTAAAAATCAATATTAGATATTTACTCAGTCAAATAGCTTGGTGCCCCTGTTAAATGTCTGTATGGTTTCAGGGGTTACATCCACAGTAAAAAAGTCTATAATTCCCACTTTTACTAACAACTCAATGGCTTCAGACCAACCAAAATGATGAACGAAGTTTTCCTATACTAACCTCTCAGAATGAGGAAACAGAACCTCCAAAATCAAAGTTGGATTTGTTTGTGTGGTTTTGAAAATGATTATGAAAAGTCTCCAAAATACTAAAAATATTTTATTGGGTTATTACCATTGTTCAAATTTCATTGTAGATAACTATTTTAAGACGTTTTATTTTTTCTTATGCTTTATAAACACTCCTAATTTCAATGTTAGTGAAACTTAACATTATCTTTGTTTTCTGCCTTTATAAAAGGCTCATGTTTCTAAAAGAACTTTTAGTACCTTGGTCTGGGAATGTTTGGAAGAATTAAGGAAAATATACTCTGCATAGGAAGGTGGTAAGTCTCTGCCTCCTGTACAAGGAGGCCCTGAAGCCAGATCTTCTTAGTAGTTATTAGAGAACGAGGGCTTTGCAGACAACCTACTGTAACTTAATAATTATACTTGTGAAGAAAATGGAGGCCCAACAGGTTAATTTCTAGTCTGTTTTGTCACAAGACAAAAGATGACTGAAACCTGGTTCATTGGTCACCTCATTTGTTTTTTCTATTCTCCTCTGGCTTCAACGGCACAACAATTAACAGGGCACCAGTACTGCTAGTTGTATGGGTACTTTTAGAGAATTTTCTTTCAAAGGGAGGAACTGAAAAAGGTAAAGACTACAATCAGAATTACATGAAGACTACTTATATTTAATGAAAGGCAACCATGTGCAGTAGGAGAGGCAGCATGCAGCCAAACCCTTCTTGCACAGGGAACAGGCAGGCACAGTTCCGATCTCTACCTAACCCTGCATAACTCTCTCAGAGTTCAGGATCCAGTGTCTGCACCTATTAAGTGAGGGGACTAATCTATAGTTTCTTTTAACTTCTCATATTCTATACTATGCAGAGGCACGAGTTTATCTGAATGTGCTGGGGTGCAGGGTGAGGAGGACCACACAGCCCAAGTCGGTTTGTCCTTAAGAAAGAGAAATAATTGGATTGATTCCTAAGACTAGTGGGAGGCTGATCGTTACTGGAGGGAGGGAGAGACAGACAGACAGAGATAGAGACAGAGACAGAGACAGAGACAGAGACAGAGATAGAGAAAGAGACAGAGGGAGAGGGAGAGGGAGAGGGAGAGGGAGAGGGAGAGGGAGAGAATAACTGAGAAGACCTCTAAGCCTATTCTCTCCCATAAAAGAAGCAGAGTGTCGCCTGGCTGGCTGGGTGTTGTTGGTGGCCAATGGATTTATCAGTGAAGCTTCCACTACCTTATTGCTTTCTTTTGTAGGTTAGCATATCAAGGGCACCCCACAGTAGCAAAGTGTTCGCTTGTGCTTCTTAGACTCAAAGAGCTCCTCTTCTATAAGAAAGGAGCAAAACAGAGTGCACTGCACTTGTTGCTGCATTTTTCAGTAGCTCTCTACTGTTCTGAAAATCCTAAAAAGAGTCTCCCCACTTAGAGTAAGCAGGGAAGACTTCTTTTTCTTCTTCTTCTTCTTCTGCTTCTTCTTCTTCTTCTTTTTTTTAGACAAGGTCTCACTCTGTAGTGCAGGCTGGCCTTGAAGTCACAGTGATCCTCCTGCCTCAGCCTCCTGAATGCTATGATGATAGGAATGCACTACCATGCTTGGCAGGGAAGACTTCTGAGCACAGCAAAAACTCACATAGTTTTGCATCAGGTCAGGGTGGGTCCTCTCAATGCCATCGTCCAGAATGGTCACCACGATGTTCTTTCCCGTGTAGCCCCTCTTCCAGGCTCCTTCAATATTCATGTCTGATTGGCAGGGATGGGTGTTGTCACTGCAGTGCTAAAGAAGGAAAGGGACATTGCAGATTACTGAAAAGTGAGATGATAAAAGAAAGGAGAAAAGAAGGAAATACACACACACCCACACACACATGCTAAGATAATTGTACTACTAATTTCTATTAGCTCATTGAAAGTAACAGTTAGTACTATTTTTGTTTGATCAAGCTTACATGCCTGTATCTGGTAATCTGAGCAATTACGCTGAAGATAATATGCAATATAATAACCACTGTTAATTACCTACCATCTTGTTTTGAAATTCTGTATCATTTTTATTGTTTTTATTCTCTTTAAAATAAAAGGAAATTTTAAAATAAAGAGAATCTCCTGCAAAGGCAATGTCTTAACAGCAGCTGCGCAGACTGATGGTAGAGGAAAGCCGGAATCCCCAGCATGGTACACACAGAAGACAGGAGGAGAAGACAAGGAAAGCAAGTCCATGGAAACCTGCCACCAGCTGTGACTTGCTCTGATACAATGAATCCTTTGGAAAAAACAAAAATAAGAGATATCTCAACAGCAGACTAGTGATACATCATTTTGTTGTTAGCATGTATTAGTGAGACTTAAATACTCATTGTAGTGCTTCATTTATAAATGCAAACCAGGTAACTACAGAATGGGCACTTTATAACATCTTACCAGGCACCCTGGAGTGACAACTACAACTAACTTGAATAACTGGTACAGTTAGCTAGGGATAAGCTTCTGTGAAGAACCCAGGAATGAGAAGAAAAGAACAGGTTCTCAGGACTTCTTCACTAAATTAACAATGTCTACTTTACCATCATTTATAGGTAGACTCATTCCGTGCTGCTTTGAGAAGAAAAAGAATAGTGAAAAGAAAGGTCCCTACCCAGGAAAAAGTGGGTGAGGGCTTCAAGGCAGAGCTGTAAAACATAGACCCTGGGTTCATCATGTTTAGAAATCTCATTCCACCATGGCTACAACATGCAAACATACTGAAGAAGGAATTAAACCAGCAGCTTTTCCTGATGTAATTTACTTTCATTTGCCCAACCCACACAATTGTTTCTTTAAAGTCATCTCTTTGCAATGTCCCTCTGAGTGGTGCTGTTTTCCAGGTTCTTAGGACTGGGGAAGAGAAACAACGAGAAAGCCAGGGGCTGCTCCATAATGCCATAGCAACACCAGCTGCCCCAGGCCTTTCACCATTCACTCCTTCCCTCGTGCTCTGTAGCAAACAGTTCAGCTTTTAGAGAATGGAAAGAATTCAAGCTTTCTCTTCTCTAAGCATAATGGAGACCCCACTGTCATTGATTCCTGTAACACATCCTTTATTGAGCGCCTACTGCATGATGGGTATGGCTATGAACAAGGCCCTGAGGCTCTGGTACTAAAGGGGGGGCACAGAAAAAGAACAAACAAATCCATTCAGAGAGCTCATTGGGTTTTAAAGTTGTTAAAACGGTGAGATGATGGTGAATGGTGAGGGGTCTGAGTACACTGGGTTAGGTGGGATAGTCAGAAAAAGACCCTGATCTCTGAAAAAGTGAAATGAGAAATGGGACACAACCAATGGAAAAGCACGGATACACTCAGGAGCCAAGGATAAATGTCATGCAGGGGGTGCAGCCAATGTGAAGACTTTCATGTGGATATAAGCTTACTGAGAAAGAATGGCGTGGAAGGCAGCAAACTAGAAAGAGACACAAAGTCAAATCACGCAGGTCTTTGTCCGCTATGATTCGTCTTTCATCCCAAGTACACCCTCAATGCGCGCTTCTTTCTTCCCATACCTCATCCTTCAAATCAAATGCTAACCACTGATGGAGCCCTCCAATGCCCCTTGACATGCGTTTGCTCATGAATTTATTTGCTAAGTAGCGCTGTTCTTTGTTGAGCGTTACAAATGCATTGGGATAGTTTCAAGGATCCTTTCTAAGAATACACCGCTCATTCATGAGAGATGTCAATTTCATAGACGATAAAGGCTTATCTGTATTTTGTAAACATCTGAACGTTTTTCTCACCTCCAGACTTGTTCCTGACACTTGAGGCCCTGTCCTTACACACAATAGTACTCTGCTGTGCTAATCCAATCCTATTTTACCTTCATCCTCACTTTCCAAGCCCAACTCTGGATTTAGATCCTCCCCCAAAACCTTCTTCTCCTCACTTGCCTTTTCCCCTTCCCTCACCTTAGGAACACACACACACACACACACACACACACACACACACATCAATTTGTCCTATACAATTCAACTCCTTACTGAATTCTGCCGAGCTGTTGTTGGCTCATATCTAATTACTGTTGAATCTCAGGTGTGAGTTTTGTTTCTTTGACTGATTTAAATTAAATCTCACCTAGGACTTCAGAAGCATTAGGTTGATTCACGCCAGAAATGAGTGTATACTTTCAACTTCAATTCCAAATTCAAAACTGCTAGTACGCTTCCTGCTCTGGCCTCTTCAGAGATAGCGGCCAGCTAATTCTTGGTTAACGGAAATAATAATGAAAAAATAAAATACTGCAGATTTCCGAAATACCTACTTTTTTTTTTTTTTTTTAGGAGTCTCATTCTGGCCAAGAGTGTAGGCCTTTCCTCACCAAATATTTTAATTTAACACAAAGCAGCTTTGACAGGTTTCCGTTTCATTTTCTTTTGAAAACCTGCTCCGACCACCTGCGGTATCGATTGTGACACGGAGCGATGTTAGAGTGGCCAAGGGGTGGGCGGGGGAAGGAAACACACAGGAAATGGGTAACCCACAGATGGGATAACTGTCCTGGAATGGAGGGTGCTGCCTGAAATTGTAATCATGAAAATTGAAGAAAACCAGCCGTGTATGGAAAACATGTGTGCTAAAAGTGGAGCAACTAGTGTTCTTTTTTCCACCTCTTCTTTTGTTGAATCTGACTTTACCATTAAATATTCTAGTACTACTTTTTTTTTTCTTTTGCTTGCTTGCTTTCTTTATTTCAATTTTATATCCACCACCATGGCATTAGTGGAAGGTAGAGAGGAAATAGAAAATGATGCATTCATTTACAATATAGCAGGTAGCCAAAATGTCAAAGGGAAAAAATTTAATCAAAGCCTAGAGTATTTCTTGCAAATGAATAATAGGTCAGAGAACATTTAAATCAGAACTCTAAGTCCTCAACATGAACCTTACATTTTTAGCACTTCTGATGTGCTCTAGGCTTTCAAATGTGTTTCTCATAGAGTTGCTTCACATATCTAAGACATTCAGAGAGTAAAGACTGGAAAATATTGACGTCACTCAATACCGACTGAAGGTGAGTGAGTTCATTATTTCCTTAACTGCCTGATTATAAGAGACTTTTAATGGGGCCCTATTTACTTGCCAGGAATCTATGTTATAGCAGCATCCAGAGGCAAAAGGAACACTTACTGACTATGATTCCCTCAGTCAGAGCTGACTGCATGGAGGAGACCTATGACTAGAGATGAACATCTGCAATTGTACCTGCCACAGGGGCTAGTTAGAAATGTCCAGCATATTGAAGCTGAAGAAGACTACATATGTGCACAATACATGCAACATAAATAAATTTGCAACTTATAGTAAATATGTACAGCAAATGCACCTTCAGTTCAAGTAATGTGCTGTATCACACTGAAGTCTGCACGGATGACTGTTTAGAAAGAACACTGGATGCAAAAAATGGAAAATATCTTGCAGAAACAATGATTAGCACCAAGGTCTCCCGCTTTCTTATCCATAAAAGTTGTTAACCCTTTTAGGAATACAATTTTAAAGGGATTATTCTGTGAGTTCAAGAAATGGCCTTTTGCATGCCAAGACTGAGTTATTCTGCTTATACACCACTATGGGTATGTCCACAACTCTTGTATCTTCATGAACACATGACAGTGTTTGATCAACAAAGATAGCTTATACCCAGAATAAACACCTTTGGTATGTTCTTGCCATCATTTTCTTTGGATTTAGGGCAGGAGGAAATGTAACGTCATTCTTTTTTAGCTTCTCTAAGTTCTGAGGGTCTCCCATGGAAGGCCTACAAACCCCCACGAACACCCCCATCCTTTTTTGTGGTTCTAGGAATGGAAGCCAGGACCTTGCACACACTAAGCAACTGATCTACCATTAAGCTACATTCCTAGCTTTTAGACTACCATATATATGCTATCAATAATCTGCTAACATTGAAAACATGTTGTTTATTATTATTAATACAATGGATTATAAGACTGCATCTCTGAGTACATGTTAGTTAAAAAATAGAATTTAATGCACAAAACTCTGTTCTAGAGACAAATTAAGGAACATATCTAGTCAATATAATAACATCTTCATGTATATTTGAAATTCTTAAAATGTGGAGCCTAAGAGTTGAGATAAATCAAGAAAATTGAAATGATATTCCCTTAGGCAGAAATATAACTAACATCTACTAAGCTCTTAATCATGGCCAAACATTGTACTAATCATTATACGTGCATAGCATCATGTAAGACTTAAAACAACCATTTGAGTGAGGCACTTTTTTCACACACTTTTAACAGGTAAAGAAAATGAGACTTGATCAGCCTAGGTAATCGTCCAGTTTAAGCAGCTGGTCAAGAGTGGAATTAGGATGCAAACCCAAGCAGTCTCACCCCACAGCATAAGGGTATGGAACTCCTCAGTTAAAAACTGAAACAGAAAGAGCAGAAGGCGGGGTCAAACACATGCAAATAAGGGGAAAGGGAGCAGGTAAGGAGTGGTTGTTAAAGAAAACTGCTCCAGTGATCAAATAATAGAAATCACACTGGCCTTAGCACTGTGATCAGTGAAGTCAAGTGATAAAGTGGAACTTAGTTAGACAAGACCTTAAAGAGCTAATTTTTTCTTATTCCATTTATTGCAACACATCTTTTAGGAAACACCAAGTTTCTATTTGGATACTTTCAGTAACAGGAAACTTATGTCTTTATTAAATTGCCAATGATGAGCTAGTAAATCAAGTCTTCTATAAAAAGCCCTATTTGTAATGTGCATCCA